TTGAATGCACTCTTTCTTGCGTGTGAGCGTTGCTAGCCTCGTGACCATCTTCTTGCATTCCCTCGCGCACCTCCATGCGCGACCCTCATTAACCGCTTCGTGCACTCGTGTATCACGTCCATGCACTCCTCGATCCAAGCCCATCCGCATACGCGCTCGTACTCGTCTTTTAGGCCATGCTTGCATCGTTTTGGCCCTATTTTCAGCCTCCTCGAGTCCTCTTGGCTCTCGGCCCTTCTTGTCACAGGGGTACGGAACCCACTTCCGTATCACTGACTACCGGCGCGCTGCTGTCACTGGGTGCGGGCAGCGCGGCCACGACCGGCCCTTGCCGGCCGTCCGACAATTTCTCTCGAGCAACTCAACATAAAATAACATGAAATGACTTGACATGATCCATTTAACAGAAAATACTCAAAATCATGAATTTTGCATAACATGCTAAAAATGGCCATGGCGTGCGCACCGTGCGCCGCCTACGGCGTTAAGCCGCTTCTCGACCGAACATGAATTTCTCTCGTCAACTAACACACAACTCAACATGAAATAATATTTACTGGACAAATAAACATGAAATGCTCGAAGGATCACTGAATAACATGATCATATACACGGACGGCCCGTGGCATGCGCTACGTGCGCATCCACGTCCCTCTAGCCATCTCAACGATTAAACATGAAAATTCTTCGAGCAACATGACTTTAACTGAACATGATATAACATAAAATGACTGAATACATGACAATAGTTCGAGAGTTCGGACAAAGACATAAACATGCTCAACCTGCCCGAAAACACACGGTCCAGAGCAACTTAAGGCTACAATACTTGAATTCAATTATCATGATATAGCTGAACATGATGCTACTAATTTAGAAAAGAGATATCCCAATTAATTACCTCTCCGCTTGTTCGCCTGGTCGCACAAACGCTCGTGCTCACTCAGAGTTCGACGTTTCCGTGCGTGCGTGCGTGCGGCTAGGCTTCTTGCATGTTGTACTCTCTTAGACTAAGGGAAATTATTACTAACTCTCTATAATAGTATTATATAAGGAGCATCTAGGGTGGCTAAAAATCTCCCCAACCTAAACTATATATAGGGCCGAAAGTGAAGAGGTGAGGGGAATTAAAATTAAGGGGTGGCTTATCCTAATTGCTAACACTTGTCATGATATAAGCATAAGAGGATTCTTAGTGAGCTTAGTCATCTACTAATCTACCATCAAAGTGCCACCTCATGCTAATGAAAATTCTCCCCTTTAATACTCATGAAATGCTCACGGCCTTAATAAAAATTGATGCAAAATTTCACTTGATTTTACCTTTTAAATGCCCATGACATTAATTGTTTAGAACAAGATTAATTGCTAATTAATCCCAATCTCACGCTTAATTAATTAATTAAGTATGACACTTAACTACCGAAATTATTCCGAACGTAAACGTGACTTCGAAAATAATTTCTGGTAATCTCGACTGAAATAATTAATTCTGAAAAATAATAATCAATAGCATTATTATATCGGAACTAAACACATGATTTATATTATTAACATGACGGGATATTCCTGACTTGGACGATTAATCCGAATATTGATATTTCAAATAATTCGTCAACTTAACTTATTAATTCCGAACTCATTAATAAAAGAAACGAATTGGAATTAAATCTGGAAACTTATCCGGTTAATGAAATAATTAAACCGAATAATATATCGACTAATAGTCGAACTTGGAATATAACTAGCTGATTAACCTGAACTTGAACATGAACATAATTATTCATTAACAAAGGCTAGATTAACATTAAAAGCTAGTATTTTCCTTTATTAATAAAACTCGGGGTGTTACACATATCCCCAAAACGAATCTGGTAAAGTACTATAACTCATCATTGCCCTAACCATTTCCATAAGAGTCATGTTCCTCCGTTCTTCTACGCCATTCTGTTGAGGCGTGCCAGGCGCAGTCAGCTGGGACGTAATCCAATTAACCGTCAAGTAGCTCCTAAATTCATTCGAGAGATATTCGCCACCACGATCTGATCGTAATGACTTTATACTTTTTCCTAACTGCTTCTCCACAATTGTCTTATACTCTAAGAACTTCTCAAAGCATTCAGACTTGCAGTGCAGAAGGAAAATGTACCCATATCTCGAGTAATCCTCAATAAACGTAACGAAGTACTCGAAACCATCTCTCGCTTGAATACTCATAGGACCACATAGATCGGAATGAACTATCCCTAACACATCTTTGGCTCTATGCCCCTTTGAACTAAAAACCCTCTTAGTCATTTTGCCTTCCAGACAAGACTCACAAGTTGGAAAAGCCTCGACTTCTAACGACCCCAAGGGCCCATCTGCTACCAACCTTTGAATCCTCCTAAGGTTAATATGACCTAGTCTTAGATGCCAAAGATATGTTTCGTTCATTTTAGAAGGTTCCTTCCTCTTATTTAGATTAGATGATGAATTAAGTAATTGTTTCTGTTGCAGTGGAGATGACTTAGATTCTAGAATGTATAGATTGTCAACTACTGAACCAGAACATATGAACTTTTTGCCAAAACGAATAACAACTTTATTATCAAACGTAGCTGAAAAACCGTTCATAAACAACTTAGAAATTGAAATAAAATTCTTTCTAAAGCTAGGAACATAAAGACAATCTTTCAAAACTAGAAACCTATCTAAGCCAAAATCTAAATAGACATCTCCCACTGCAACTGCTGACGCTCTACTAGCATCGCCCAAGTAGATGGTAACTTCTCCTTCCCTAAGTCGCTTGGTTTCCTGGAAGCCCTGCAATGAATTGCAGACATGATCAGTGGCCCATGTATCTACACACCAGAAACTGGTAGATAACACCGCTAAACATGTTTCAACGACTAAAGCAAAAGGAGTACCTTTGTCGGGTTTTCTGGGAAGAGGGTAGTTTGCCTTCCAGTGTCCTTTCTGCTGACAATTGTAGCACTTGCCTTTCGGCTTCTTCGCTTTTTGTCGAGGTTGCGGGTCACTCATGACCGCCTTGCCCATTCCTGCGGAATTCTTCCTCTTGTTGCCCTTAGGAGCCTTAGAAGTGGAAGCTTTTCCCCGCTGGGCCACCATAGCTTAGTTCTTCTGACGAAATAGGCCCTCTGTCGACTGAAGTTCAGCAACAAGTTCTGAAAGAGTCATCAACATCTTATTCATGTTGTAATTCAACCAGAATTGTTCGAAGCTCTTCGGCAGAGACTGGAGCACTATATCGACCTGGGTTTCCCCATCAATAAAAGCCCAAAGAACCTCCAGCTCATTCAGCTGTGCCATCATGGCAAGAACATGTTCCCTTACGGGAGTGCCCTCGCGCATGGTCATGTTCATCAGAACCCTCATGGCCTCTTGTCGGGCAGCCCGCGACTGATGACCAAATAACTCCTTGAGATTAAGGAGCATGTCTGCTGCAGTGTTCATAGACTGATGTTGATGTTGAAGTACATTTGACAAGCATGCCAAGATGTAACACTTCGCCATCTCGTCAGCCTTTTTCCACCGAGCATACTCCTCTTTCTCTTGGTCTGGTGCATTGTCAGCAGGCACAACCGGACAAGCCTCAATAGTAGCAAATTTGTACCCTTCAGCAGTTAACACTATATCCAAGTTCCTTTTCCAGTCAATATAATTGGGACCAACAAGTTTGTTTTCTTTGAGAATTACGGACAACAGATTGAAAGACATTTTGAATTCCCGGGATCATACAAACATAGTCTTTACTCAGTCAAGTAATTTTTAATTTATACATCAATTATTGATCCCATGTAACAATATTCAGATAAATACACCAACACCTCAAAACACCGAATCCCCGCAGGCCACGGAGTGTGGACGTCTACGGTTCAAACATTCGCAAGAGGAGGGATAAATCCCATTAGCTTAACATACTGCCGAGCAATACTTAACTAATAGTCGGTTTCATCTATTGGCCAGCGCAATTAACTTTATAAAAGAATAAAAACGACCTTATCCTTTGGGACTATCGTAATTATTTGCACTTTAAGTGTAACCCATTAATTGGTACTAAGTTTACTACCAAAATTATACGCCTACCTTTGGGTGACCCGTACGCTTTTGAAACAGCTCACTATAACCATCCCGAAGGAGATTTTTCCTTGTGAACTGTGAAATAAAACGTCCTTTGGGCTCGCATTAAATCACTTCTGTAGTGCCCCGTTCGTTTATTAGTATTTTCTGGGATTTATGTGATTATTTATTTGAATTTATATTATCTTTGCCTTCGTTTCCTTATTTATATTGTTTGCTAGTTTATAAATATTATATGTTTGTTCTTATCTCGTTTCATTTATCTGCTATATTATTAAAATTGCTATGTGATATAATTTGTGTGACTGTTACGTGAATTATTTTATTTTGTGAAGAATGTGGATAATTAGGATTATTTTAGATATTAGATTTATTTTCTTTTTTGTGTGCGATTTTTGGTTTAATTGCGTAAACCGATTTCTAACCATTTCGATCCATTTTGGTGCTTTAAGTCCGAAGCTTAGAGGCTTAATTTTCAGCCCAAGTCGATTTATTCTCCCAGCTCTTTTGGTTATTAACTTCCAGCCCAATTACTTGAGTTATACTTTGGCCCATTAGAATTCAATTCAACGGCTCCCTTCTCCTTCTTTTCATGCAATGACTGATTCAAATGAAGGTTGCGATTTTTACGTGAGCATAATCTCACGATCGTTCATGGCTACTTAAGACTCGGACCTTGGAGTGTTATCCTCATCTCATCAAACTCGTTCAATCCCTCTCACTCTCGCATAGCAGCTCTCATTTAAAAAAAAAAAAAAATCGTACCTGCATTCTCCAGCCGATTCCATCACCGGTGACCACCATTCTTTCCGTTGAGTCCCTCATCACAGCAGCCATCACAGAAGCTTCAGCCGTTCACGCGGATAAAGCAGCAGTCCGGAGCAACGTCCCGTTTGCCGTCCAGTCGTTCGTCGAGTTTTTGTTTCTGTTTCCGTTTGATTCTTCCGTTTCCAACCAAACACGTGGATTCCAGAAGTGAGGTAATCGTCAAGCCTCCTGGTTATGTTTTTGTACTCGAATATTATCGTTGGATCTATCGTGTACTTGGAATCGAGTTTTGTTGATTTTCGAATTATTTTCGGTTCGTTCATATAGTTCGACTGTGTTGTTTTGTGTATGTTATTTGCGGATTTTTGGAATGCGATGTTGTGTAATTCGTATAGATGTTCGGAGTCCCGTTTTGTTGTTTCGGAGTCTCGTTATGCTCACCCGAGTTGTGGTTTTGTTGTTTGCCGATCGTATAGCTTTCGAGCCATTATGAGTCGTTTCGTTCTCCCAGCAGACCCGATTTTATAAAATTTTCGAATTCTGTAAAATTTGTTATTTTCGTTAAAATTTTTGGTGCTCGAATCTGTTAAAAAATTCAGTCAAAGTTCGTTGCCGGGAATTTGTTTTGCAGTAACGGTCTGTACTCTGTTATTCTTTTGTTCGCAGCTCTGTAGTTTTCTGTCTCTGTTAAGTTTGTTCTTAGTCCAGGTCATTAGTTTTAAAAAGCCGTGTTTGCATTTTAATATTGAAAGCTGGCGAGTGGTGCAGTGGTGTTCACCCTCATTTCCGTGTGAGAGGTCTTCGGTTCGATCCCAAGCTTGGTGGTTTAATGCCATTTTTTTTTTAAAAAAAAAAGTTTCCCCCCAGCCCAGGAGCCAGCCCGCGTCTCGGCCCAGTGCAGCCCGCTTCTCCTCTAGCCCAGGCCCGCGAACCCGAACTACCCAGCCCGCGTTTCCCCAGCCTGTTCAGGCCTAATTTTTGGCCCACATACCTTGTGTGGAGGCCCATTTCACACTCCAGGCCCAAATTCTGGGCAGCCTTCGGCCCAGTGGTGGGCAGGTGGTCCAAGCGGCCTCTTTAACCCTTTTTGTGTTCCGGAAGTCCGTTTTTCGTCCCGCACCTAATTTTAAAAATTATTTTTCAAATAAGAGAAATCTGGAATAAATATTTTTAAGTCTCGGGACCCCATTAAAATCTTTTTCGAGTCTCTTTCCTTTTTAAATTCGAGAGTTCCAAGTCCACGAAAATTCCGATTAAAACCCTCGACCCTTAATTTTGATTAAGTGTGGGTTTTCGATTATTCCCGAGTAATGAGATATTGATATATATTGTCTCGCTTAAATGTAGGTGTTTGAGGATTCGAGCCTCTGCCTACTACCCAGTTTATTCTTGCCTATCTCGATTTACCAGGTGGGTGTCGATAAACCTTACCATGTATGTTAATTTCTATAAATGCTTGGCTTGATAATCTATGTATGCATGTGAACCGGTAGTCTATGAGGCCTAACTCTAGCCTTTAGAGAGCTTAGTCCGTGTGACGGTACGTCTGCGGGTGCTCCCGTCTTTTTCGTATCGACGACTCCCGTCTTTTTTGCGGGGACGGCTTGTTTTTTATCTTTTTTCGAGATTGATAGGTTAGGTGTGATCACATGAGCGTGGCTGTGTTTAGGGAGGGTAGACTAGTCGATTTGTGTTCATGCTTCGATTATGATTTTAAGTCTTTATATTAATTAGACTGCATGGTATTCCCACGGTGAGCAAGTGTTCGCTCACCCCTACTATTATTTCTCTTTTTAGGCTGAGCTGGTGGTTGTGGCGAAAGACGAGCGAGGCGGGTCATATAATTGATGTTGAACTGTTTTATTTGCTTCCGCTTGTTTATTCATTATTTATCTTGTTGCCAGACATGTTTATTATTGATATTGGAGACGGAACCGTATATTTGGTTTTTATGCATGCTAGACTATGAATTTGAATAATGATTATGGAGTTATGAATTGGGATTATTCATATGATTAAATAATTGTCGAGGCATGTTATGATATGTTTATCGGGATGGTTGTACTTCCCCGCGAGTTTAAATGTTGACTTAACTGTTGATTTGTGAAGTTGTTGAGTAGCACCCGTTATCTAAACCTTTAAAACTGATTTTTAAAAATTTAACTCTGATTTTTAGAAAAATAATTTGGTATTTTCTATTAAAATAATAGGGCGTTACAGTTTGGTATCAGAGCAAGTTTACGTTTCTATAGACTGCTTCTGAATTTGTTTATGTATTTATGTTATGACCCCTCGCTTCGTCCAGCCACGTCAGCTCAAGGTATGAGTGTTGTTTAATTTGTTTAACTGATTATTTGGGGCTTAGGAATTTATCCTCCTTTCCTTGATTAATTTGGACTTTAGTGGTTGAGTGGACGTGCTAAATTACGACTTGTCTTATAGATATGGGTCCTCGTAGAGATCCTCAAAATCAACAGGCTCCACCTGCTCAGGATGAAGATCATGGCCGTACGATTGAGCGGTTCAAGAACATGCGTCCCCCAACCTTTTCTGGAGAGGAGGGGCCAACAGCTTTAACGGAGTGGTTTCGTAAGCTGGAGAGGATCTTCACCGTTCTCCGATGCTCGGACGCCCAGTGCATTGAGTGCGCAGAGTACCAGATGGAGGGTGATGTCGCCGACTGGTGGACTGACTATTGGGTTCTGAGGCCGGAGGCAGAGCGGACTGCCCTCACATGGGTGAGGATGAAGGTGCTTGTTACTGACAAGTACATTCCCAACAGCTATCGTGACCAGAAGGAGCGAGAGTTCTATGATCTCCGACAGGGTACCACTTCCGTTGATGAGTATGCTCAGGCCTTTACCCGGTTGAGTGTTTTTGCTCAGCACATGATCGACACTGAGGAAAGGAAGGCTCGTAAGTTCAGATATGGGCTTCGCCAGGACATTCGTCTTTTGGTGGCTAGTCATGGGGAACTTCCTTTCGCAGACACAGTTATCAGAGCCTAGATGATTGAGAGCTGCATGACCCCGGTGGCCCCCGCCTCTTCCTACTATCATGCCCAGCCTACTCAGTCAGCTATCCAGCCAGCTATTTCTGCTCAGCCACCATCCGGCTCGGGCAAGAGGAAGAATGATTATCACTCAGGCCAAAAGAGGTCTAAGCACAACAAGAAGCCTATGAAAGCTCAGCCTATTCAGCAGGTTTAGGGAGGACAGCCGAGGTGTGGATCATGTGGTAGGTCCCATGCAGCAGGAGAGTGTTTCGCTGCCCAGAATACGTGTTATAACTGCCATCGTCTCGGACACTTTTCTCACAAGTGCCCCGAGCCAAAGAGGGAGAACCCAGGACCGCACCAGCAGCAGCTTCCGTACCCACCACATCAGCATCAGCAGCAACTTCAGTACCCGTAGCATCAGCAACAGAACCAGCAGCGACCCATGGCCCAGGCTCGAGTTTACGCTCTCACCAATGACGAGGCCGCCAACAACACAGGTACCATGTCTGGAATGCTTTCTATTTCCAATGTGCATGTCTTTGCCCTATGTGATACTGGTGCCACGTATTCTTTTGTTTCTTCGATTTGTATGGAGGCCTTAGGAATTAGGGATGTCAGTGAGGTCGATGCTCTCGAGGTTAGCCTAGCCTCGGGAAAGACGATCACTGCCGCTTCAATGGTTCGAGGTTTGCAAGTTAATATCGA